CTACTACCTACTACTACTACTACCTACTACTACTACCTACTGCTACTACCTACTACTACTACTACTACAACAACAACTACTACTACTACTACTACTACTACTACTACTGAGCCACTGCTATTGCTACTGCTACTCCTACTGCTACTACTGCTACTACGACCACTACTACCACACATACGACGACCACGACTACGACTTGTCGACCAAGTCGACTAGCACTAGAACAGCACTGACACTAGAACTAGCACCAACACTAGCACTACCACCAGTACTAGTAATGTACCAGTACTGGTACTCCTTCTTCTACTTCTCTACTGCTACTACTGCTGCTGCTACTACTACTACTACTACTACTACCACCACTATTATTACGACGACGACGACTACTACTACTGCTACTGCTACTGCTACTGCTACTCCTCCTACCACTACTGCTACCACCACCACTCCTGCTGCAACTTTTCCTCCTGCTGTTACACCTGCAGCTGCAGCAGTAACAGCAACAGCTGTTGCTACCAGTGCTACAACTTTGCTGCTACCACGGCGACGACTACTACTCCAACTGTTACCGCTGCTAGCACCACTCCTACTACCACTACCGCTAACTTGTCACGCGAAAGACCCTCGAAAGGAAGCAATCTTACGCGGAAGGCAAATCCGGATGAAGAAATATTGATCAACCCTCAGGACCTGTACTACAGAGTAAATTGTCCTTGTGCTTATGCGGCTTGCTGAAGTCAAAAAGCTGTTTGTGATGACGCCCGTCAAGGTTTGGAGGCGCTGCGCCGGCACGAGACACTCAGACGAGAACACGCTTCAGCTACGAGGCCAGCGAAATGTAAGTTTCCCTCCCAGGATGCATGGATTTTTCGTGGCTCTGTCGGTGCTTGAATCGACACCACCACTTGAGTGTTCCTGTCATGAATCGACGGATTGCCCATCCCAGTTTTGCGAAAGTGTAGATCAGCTTGCACAGGCACCGAATCCGACCAGCGCAGTCTCCGGTTTTCACTCAGGCGCGCTTGACACTTGACTGTCCATCAACCAGCCAAGCCAAGCAGGTGTGCTGGGAGAGCCTCAATCATGCATCAGGAATCGCATCACAGAAAGATAAGAATTACAGCCAAGGGTGTGGAAGCAAAGCTCGTGCGATCCTGCCCCCCCGAAAGAGAGGCGCACTGCCTTGCGTGTTGCGTCAACAAACAACTGTGGCTTGCATCCAGAACCGGGCACTGCAACACACCTCAAGGGCGCCGTTTCTCGACGGAGACCTTTGGCAAACCATGGACTCCCCTACATTATAAGGTGGTCATAGGCGTGTTGCTGCTCAAAGCAGAGAGAGGTCAGAGCAGAGAGGAGCTTTGTAGGTCCAGGAACTTGTCGTGCTTGAATAGGGAGCGAAGAATCAGCTTATCACACGAAGTTTAGCCCAGGTCCAGCTGTTGCGCTTGTGTGTATTGGCATTGCTCATGGGAACCTTCACATACAGTGTGACTGCCGTGCATTGTATTTTTGCAAGGTGCTGGAATGTGCTGCATTGCCAGTTTCAGTTTGAGTCAACCAGAACCAGCGTGTCCATGCGTTAGCTGACCTGTGAGCGTGAGTGCTGCAATACCTGGCAGGCCTTAAGGAGTTTCTGGTCTAGACAACCCCTCCTTAGCCATCCGCGCCTCATCACGCCTCGGCCTTTTGACGTGATGCGAGTCGAGTCTGTGGCAAGTCTGTGGCTGTGCACACAGACGCATTTGCGTTGAGTGACAGATCCTGCGCCGCGAGTGGTCGACATTTAGCATCGAGATGTGCCAGTGAATTACGATTGGATTCCAGTGGGTGTGCTTTGTGGCGCACATGGCATTTCGGTGCCGCAGCGTGGACCCAGGGGCAATGTCACCGACGATGGGGCAATGTCAGCCTAGCCTCCTGGTGGAGTTGCATGCCAAGAAATGCAGCAGCTGCAGACAGCTAGCTGTGCTGTGATTGCGCGAGCGAGCTGTGAGTCGGTGTCGCGTGTGAATCCCGGTCAGCGTTCGGACAATGAGGTCCCCGTAGCCGCCAAGAAACCCAGCAGCAAGCCGGCATACTTCTTACTCCGCGCCGTGCGAGTTGATGGCCGTGAGAAGTCTCCATTGGAGCTGAGTCGGCGCTGCAGGTTACAGGCATGTACCAATTTGCCAGAAGTTTTTCGTGTTACATGAAGCTCCGGACCCTGCGGCACGTCTCCCAGGCGCTCCGCCAGAGCCCACGTTCGAGAAGACCTCTAGGCCCGGGAAGTTCTCAAGGGCGTCGCACAAATTTTGACCTTTAGATATTGGTCTGTTCAGGTTCAGCGCCACCCCGCCGCCAGGTGCGACTCTCGGCTTCTTGACGCTCTCGTACGCTTGTGGAGTGTAGACGTGTCATGTAACAACGGCAGCACCGCGGTCTTCGTATCAGTGCCTGCCGAAGCTCACGGCCTGTTGCCCGCGCTGATCAGTGGAACACTTGCACTCACCCCTCACAGTCAGCTCCGGGCATTCGACATTGCACACCATTTCCACGCTGCAACCTCAGCAGCTCCATGTACCTGACTTCAGGCCACGACATGAAGCGCGCAGCCGAGGGCGATGTTGAGGCATGCGGTTGACATGCATGCACAGGCTTTGCTTCCTGACTTTTGCAAGCGAGAACATAGGCAGCCTTGCAGAGGGATGGCAGTGGCAAGCAGCCGATCAAGAATCCAGTTGCACTCAAGTCAGCTGAACACTCGCCGTAAGCAGAGGCTCAATATCGACACACCGAGATGTCGTCCATAGAACGGAACGAGTGCCGGGTGTCTGCAACAGATGTCCCGAACCAACTGGGGAGAGCATGCTTGCGTGTGGGTGCCCGCAAGCGCGTTAGATGTCGATTTTTGCGGAGAGCACTTGCCTGCTTTCGCTTGAGTTTGTGTCAGGAGCCTCCGACCAAGCGGCAGGCGCGCCATTCCCCGTTGAACACATCGCTAGCAGGTAGTGACCGGTAGTGGACTATATCTGTGACGATCTGAGATGTCCATTTTGCTTCGGCGAGGCACATCAGGAGCCCGCTGTGTCTGAGGAGGCACGAAGCAGAGCCGCATCTAACCAACGATCTAAAGTACCGCAGTCCGGTGCCTGCCGCAGCACAGTTCTATGGACTCTATAGCGACTTGATCTGGCTCACATACCTTCGCGAAACGAAGCCTGGATAGAAAACTAATGCAGCCGGCGACGGTCCTAAGTTGTTTGCACGAATATTGTTTGGAATTGAAAGCTTCGAATTGCTGCTAACTTTAACAGGCTTTTGAATATGAGCCGCGTGCTCTGTTGTACACCGAATGGCGGGACAGCACGTTGGCTTTGGCTTGGCTTGAACACTTTCTGCTCGTTGTTTCTCGCTCAGAATTACGACTGTGTTCGAACCCTTTTTGATTGACGACGTGTTTGACTTTGTGCTCAATCAACACTCTCCTTTGCTTTCGATGAGAAATCATTCGGCCATTTATCATCGGTTTCCAGCATGGCTATGATATCGTCCCCGCTTCTAGCACGGTGTCAAACAGCTCAATCAGGTTTCGGGTTCAAGGCGAAACTGTATGCGCAGAATCGTACGGCAAGTCGTAAGACATACAGTTCTCCGGGGCTCGACCCACATGTAGCTACGCTATGCATCGTGACTTCGAAAACGCAGCCAGCTTGCTGCAGCTAAGAGCGTCTTCGTCCTAGGAACCTGCTCAGAAGATTCTCGTCATTGACAGAGGTTTGGGAACAAAGCACGATGAAGCCAAGAGGGCGTGCGGCCGTAGCAGGCGTGACAGGATGCCTGGGAGACTGTGAAAGACGACGTTCAGAACGTTGACATTGTCCAAAGTCGGCAGGGGACCAAGTCCGAGCACAGTGGGTTCCGCCATCTGCGAGCCTCCATCTGGATGCGGGTGTTCGACGGAGCGTTCGAAGGCATTTGATCATGCACTCGTGCCAGGTTGACAATGAGTGCTTCTGCCTTCTAGATCCTGCAGGAGCAAAGCTTTGCACTGTATAGGGCAAAAAGGCATGTTGCGCTGCTGAGCGATGTGCAGAGCCGGTAGAGCGAGTCGCTGGCCTCGGACGCCACACCTTGTGCCATGCAGACTGCCTTCCCTTGTCTGCTTCTTGTAGAGTGCAGTAATCCACGATTATCGAGCACCGGGCCGCGAGACAGGTACGCGGAGATGATAAACGATCTTTGCAAGCACAGTGCTGTGCGGCTGTCCATTCTCTTAGGACCGTGGGATGGGGGTCCGGGGTCCGGGTAAGGGGAAACTGACTTCTCTCCCGCTCGTTGCTTTGTTTGCGGTGGTATTTCCAGGACTCTCGTCCGCCGTAGTGGACAACGTTCCGCTCGTCGAGGCCGTTGAAGACGTGCAACCTCCAGCAAAGCCTGACGAACAGCTTTGGAAACAAGAATCGACAGTCTCTAACGACTGCACTACACCGAATGGGTTGTGGTGGACAGAATGCGACAGCACACGGCACACAGCTGTCACAGCACTCGCAACCTTAGCAACATGCAATGCTTGCTGGCTCCAGTGCACATTTGAGTAGGTCTTGCAATCTTGAAGTCATGGGAAGTCAACTCTGCCTAACTGTTCAGAAAAGGCTTTGTCGGTTCGAACCCATTAGATGCAGTATCCTGTACTTTATGTGTCCAGCTGGAACCAAGAGCAATGGTCATGGAAGTGGGTTGGCCAACAGGCCTCGCACTTCTGATTTTCCTGGTGCAATGCTTTCTGGTGTTCAAGCTGCTGCGATGGTGTCGCTAGCTTAGCATCACGAGTTTCCACAGGTAATCGCACGAGAGCTGAGAGTGCAGGGGTTTCGACAGCAAAATGTGTTCATAGTACTTGTGCAGCAGCTTTTCTTGCTGCTGCCTTCGTAAAAACTAACAAGCCACGTTAGCATCCGCCCCACTGAGGCCGGAACAACTTTCGCGGATGCGCTTGCAGCCTCGCAAGCTGCATTGGTGCATGACAATGATGTGGTTTTTCCAAGTTTTTGCCACGACCTACACGTATGTCCCTCGTGCCTGATGAGGTCACTCGTGGAACTGGGCGTCCTTCTCCAAATGGTATCAGCATTACATGCGACAGGCATCCGATGATTCAGAATTCAGAATGAATATTGTGAGTGAACAGCATTCCAGTAAGTCGAAGATACTTTGTCCGGAGCGGATAGTGGTGCGTGCAAGTCGGTGTACCGCAATGAGCAACGTGGACGCTCTTTGCACGGATATACCATGCTTGCAGATATCGTCGATATCGTTTCCAGAAGCTTCAACTGACTGATGTGAAGGCCGAATAGACCCGGAAATTCAATCTTGTAAGTGCACTTGAACCGTCACTTCATTGGATGCCTGCCGTCAGCACAAGAGTCGGAAAGTTTGATTTGCCTTGAGGAGGAGCGGGTCGTGAAGGCTAAGGTGACCCTACAAATAGGCGCGGCACTGCACCGCAGAGCGACTGTGCTCCGACTGCCAATCAGCAAAAACTGTCAGGGGTCTTCATCATCGGCTGCTATGTTCTACCGAGCACCTACACTTTGCGAATGGTTACCTTCCAGGCAACGAGGTTGCAAGCTACGGGAGAGAGTGGATAGGCTGCTGTTGAACACGCGATGCATAGCCATGGCAGCAACCTCGCAATATTGTCAGCTTGAAAGGTGTGGAAAGGTTGCGTCTTGTGCTCAGAACCTAGCAGGTTCTTTCATCAACCGCGTCCAAACAGAAAACTGGCACGGGGCTGGGAGCGGAATGTCTTCTTGTTGCTGCCGAACTGTAACGTGTCAAGCCACGAACGACAGAAGCACCAACATGGTGGTACATGTTGAGCCCGAAGGGAGAAAGATCGTGAATGGTGGGGAACGTTTGAGCAGGCTTTGCTCAGGCAGGCAAGTAGTTTCGACCTTGCCTTTGCAATGTCTGGTGTCCGATCTGCGGGCCCTTTAAACCCTGCTCGCAGTCGCTGTCTCTCTCCCTCTCTCTCTCTTTTTCTTGCTCTGTCCCGTTGACCGATATAGTCGCACTTTCGCGGACATGAATACAACTTCTTGCAGAGATCTTGAGCGCAACTGAGCGAAAAAGCTGTCACCCCATCAGGGCGGTCAGTGCCAAGCCACACCTGAAGCGTAAAGTCCTGCGTCAGTGTCCCGCAGAGTCGCAAGCAGGAGCACATGCGAAAAGACGAAATGCCACGCGGAGGGCGAGAGCTTAGCAGCCTGCACCATCGAAAACAGCCAAAAATACAAGAGAGACATCCCACGCCAGCAAGTCCGAAGGTCCCGAACCCAGAATGTGAGAATGAGATCCCTTTCGGATTCGCAAGCCTAAGCTCTCAAACATGCCACAGATTCCACAATTTTAAGCAGCAAATGTGGTACCGGTACTCCTCGTTTTCAGAGACTCCCAACAAGGTCAAGGATGCCCAAAACCGTTGAACACTGAGAGAGAAGAAGAGCTGTGTCAGAAAGGCCGGGCTTCCATTAACTTGCATGAACCATAGGTTCGATCAGGGACTTTGGGTTTGGGGCAAGAGACAGAGAAGGTAAAACCTTCAAACTAAGAGCCTCGTGAATCCGGGCTCTGCCTAGAGTTGGAGGGCGGCTGGCCAGGACAGTAGATATCGTGCGAGGCTCCTTCACCCTAGCAGCCCCCCCTCCTTTGTTCGAATCGCATTGCCGAAAGCAAGAAACCTTGCAACATAGTTCAGCATGCTGGGCCTTTGGGGCAACTTTGAGGGGACAATGCCTTCGGCCTTCCGAGCAATCGCAGTTGTCGCACTGCTGTGGTTTCCGAGGTTTAGCGTAACATGGTTCATCGCTTTCCTTTGGTGCTAGTAAAGTAGTTGAGGGTCAAATGCCTTCTCAAGGCATGTTTTTGTCGAATTGGCCGCTCTCAGTCTGTCAAACAACGTCGAGGAGACTTGGCTAGGGATGCCGTTGCAGATCTGGCGCATGCATGCCGTCTGATCGCAGTCGCCCATGCCCGCACAAGGTTATAAAGTAATATGCTTGAGACGGAATCAGGGATCCGGATAAACTGCTTCCTTCCATTCTCTCGACTTTCTGACTGTGAAGTTTGCAGGCGTATAGGGCAAGAACCCAGAGACAAGTAGCCCAAAACCGGGGCCCCATCGTCGAAGAATCAGATGTGACTTCGGACTTATTTGCCACCGGAGATTTCTCAAATCATGCTGTGGCTTCGGCTTTGCAGGCACGTGCTTGCGGTGTGCTGCCACAAAGCGCGGCCGAAACACCCTTTCCAACAGTGGATGTTTTCGTGGCGCTTATGTGGATGTCTTCTGTACTCATAATCTCAAACAAGCATTGGGTGACACCACGGAGCCTGGATGTCTTCTGCTTATTGTTCTACATTACCACGCTGCTCGGGCTCTTGGTGACACCGGTCCAGAACTTCGAGGAGTATCGCCAAATCTTGTTCAGGCTCATCTTCTGCAGAGTTCTGCCTGATGTTACGACAAAGCGTGTGGGGATGTTCGTGGTGTTCAACGTGCTCGCCCTTGTGGTGGTGATCGCCCGGGTGATTCCAGTCAGGGAGCTTGGAAAGAGTCAGCTTGACGAAGCCATTGTCATGAATCTTGCGCCCGTATTTGGAGCAGTACTGGTTCGTCAAGTTGCTCGTCTGCAATTCATGCACGCCTGTCGCTTCCCAAGCTTTCCCAAGCATGAGATTCGAACGTCTTGTGTTCCAGGCAATGTACGCGATAGCTGATGCTGGTGTCAATCTCCAGACTCTCACCATCGAACGAAACGCTATCTCCAGCCTGCTCCTGGGACTTTGCGATGCTGTTGTGGAAGTGGATGAGAGTCTTGGCTTCATGCATGTGTGCGTGTGACGCTGTTGGCTTAGGGCCAGCTTGCCTGATGCCCGGTGACACTTGAAAGCTAAAGTTTTCATGTGGTGGGCAGTTGCATTTAAGTGATAATCTTAATACTTGCTCTCAGCTTCATCGAAGCACGCTGTTGCCACGTGGGCAAGTTCTCATCCGTCACCTTGGCGAGAACACGACAAGCTCCCTTCTCGCAGTTCGCCACCGAAAGAGACTCTATATGTAAGCCCTAAACGCTAAACCCTAAACCCTTACAAAAACCCTAAGCAAAAAATCCATGTACACCCTAAACCCTAAACCCTTAAAAAAACCCTAAACCCTTACTGTAGACACCGGAGCCGAGCACTTTACTTTGCTAAGGAACCTGAAGCTGACACAAGACGGCCGTCAGCTCTCGACGATGCTGACTCTTTGCGCAAGACATGATGCATGGGGTTCACATGTTAGTTCACTTCCTAGTCCCACAGCCAGCCCCGTGATTCACCTTCAGTCTTAGACTCTTTCCCAAATGGCCGGAATTTGATTCAATTCTTGAGTCCTTCTTCTCTTCATTTCTCTTCTCTCTGTTCGGCTTTGATCTGGGCTTCGGAAAGGGGTTTGGACACTGGTTGCACCGGTCATTGGCTTGCTGCAGTCGAAGCTTCCAGTCCGGGCAGGGGGTGCTTGGGATTTGATTGATAGTAGAACGGATGGGCGCAGAACGAACGAAGTGCAAAGAGGCCCAGGATTGATGTGTTCCTGGCCCCTGGCGTCAAACCGCCGCCATGCGAGGGGCAGGGCAGGGACAGGTGCTGAACCGAGGTTGCATGGTCGTGGCGTAGCTGCCCAGCAGCTGGCCGGGTCGGACCTCCTTGTGCTCCAGCGGCACTCGTCACTGCAGTCACCAGCATACTGCGGAGGTTTGTATTTTCTGAGCAGATCGGGATAGTGGT